ATATTTAATGTTCATGTAACTGGAATCTCAGAATGAAAGGAAGAATATAGTGCAGAAAAACAGTATTTAAACAAATAATGGCTGAAAAATTCCCAGTTCCATATGAAGACATAAACCTACAAATTCAAGAAGCTTAACAAACCCTAAACCCTAAACACACTGTAAAGCCATTCTGGGCGACTTTGATGTGAAGCTGAAAGTGAAATTTTAAAAGGTGCAAAATGATCATGTAAAACAGATGTTATGAGTTTAAAAGAGAATAAAAGGGTTGACTAAATTGGGTAATAGTTGGCTTAGGTGCCAAATTCCAAGGCACCAAGAAACTGCTTTCAGTGTGATTGGTTTTAGTCCACTGCTTTCATACTAGAGTGTGTTTCAGAATTACTTGGACAACATGTTAAAAGAAAAAAAAAGTACATTGCTAGTCTCCATCCATCCCTAGATTTTCTGATTCATTTAAGTCTAGAATATGGCCTGGGAATATGCATTTCATAGAGCTTCCAGATAATGGTGCTGTTGCTAATCTTAGGACATACTTTTAGATCTGCGGACACAATGGTTTAGGGTATGATCTTGACGAATAGTTAAGGCTTTGATGTTCAAAACCATCTGCTGAATCATTCATATACAAGTGACAGATGTCAGATTTGCAGTCTCAAACTAGAAGAAGAAATCTAATGAGTGCTTATGAGCAAGTACAGTTGAGTCAAGTGGGGGGTGTGGTGCGATGCTGGCATAAAGGGACTCTTGTTCACTATACAGATACCTTGCCTAACCAACTGGAAGATATGTTTTCCTTTTTAGTTCCACTAAAATTCTTTTTCAATTTTTCACTGAATAACTCACAGCAGTCCTTCAGCAGAAGAAAATTTTATCTAAGTCTCCTCAGCTCCACTCTCCAGACAATCACCTTTCTTTCTTTCCAAGAGCTTGAAAAGATGCAAATATAGCTTGGCACTCAAGCATAACACATTCAAATGAACCTAAGTATAAATTTCCCAGATGCAGTTTCTGCCTCTAAAAGGAGAGATGAATGTTCAAAGGATCTGATAAACCAGGAAGAAGACCAAAGGAGTATATTGATATGAATGGAAAAAATAATTAACCCTAACAATTATCCACTTTAGAATAACATACTACAATAAAAAGAAAAACAATAATTAATCTAAGAGAGAATAATTCCTAGCAATTGTAGGGCAAATGCAGAAATGCTTTTTGACTAACTCACTTGATTTCTGCACCATTTTACATCAAGTGTATGAGGACAAAAAGAAAAACAAGGTGCAATAACATTCTACCAAGAATAGTTTAAGGGTTATGGACTAGATAACCAAGGTTCTATTTTATTCTATTCTATTTTCTTTATGGTTCTATTTTATAATCTAGACAACCAGGTTCATATTTTATTCTCTCGCTACTGCCTCTTCTTTCTGTGAAATCATTCTATGAAATCATTCAATGGACTTATCTATAGAACAGAGTGAGGAAAACTAAACTTCAGAGAAGACACTAATTAAAAAGCCTGATTAGACACAACACTATATATCCATGATTGTTTTGGGAAGAACTAAAAGGGAGGAGGAGGAAAGCTTCATAGGTCAGACTTAAGATAAAATATATGTGATCACATTTAATTTTAACAGTACTAGCAAATGTTTTTCATTTTAGTGATGTTATCAGATTAAAACATTCCTATAATTAAGAAAGGAAAAACTACTGTTGATGCAATCTGAAAAGAAGTAAGGTAGTTAACTGTTACAGGCAAAAAAATAAAAAATTCTGCCACAATAATGACAATCTGTTAAATAAAGATAAATCTCCTATTAGTTGACATTCACAAGTGTCAAGTGATCTAGATAAGGAAGTAGTAATTGCTACACATACTTTTAAATGGAACAGTTTAAAACATTTCTAAATGACTAGTAATTATTATTGAAAAGAGACATTTAAATACTAAATAGCAACAAACTGGTAGTAAAAAGTAGTGCAGGGTAAACCAGGAATCCAGTAAATGTGGAGTTAAAATAGCTAAATCACTGTGACTTGGGTCAACAATCACCTGTATACTCTGTTCTTGATATCCTTATTAAAAAAAAAAAAAAATGTTTCATGGGTACAAGTCAAGATAGTTTGTGAAGTATGAACATGCTGCTGTGTTTAACCCTATCTCTCCCTTACTATTATGTTTTAATGAACTTGATAAACATTTTCTTTTGTTTTACTATCTTTTCTTCTTAAAAAACAAAATCATACAGACACACTTGAAATTCCTTTTGTGACCCTTCCTGATCATAATCTTCCCCTTCCTCTCGAAAGGTTAATGTTCTTAAGTACGCTGTGCCAGTCATATCTTTTCATTTTTACTACACCTTTTTTTTAACCACAAACGACATAGCATCTTGTGTTTAAAAATGTGTTCCAGTTCTAATTTTAATACCCTGAAATATTAAGAAACATTAACTGAAGAATTCTAATCCTTAATTATGGAAGGAATGTATGTTTTCATTCACTTTCAATCTTAAAATAAGTGTATAAAAAATAAAGTTACCACCTTGTTTCTCTGTGTAATGCATTGAAACACAAAGTCATCTTGCATTCCACTGCCCTAAGACTTGCTAATGGCATTTATACTAAGTGCCTGGTGTTTTAACAGTTTTGAACAGAGCATTTTTATGTCAATTTCATTAACAGTGATATTGAAGAAGCTGTTAGGTGGCACAGCAGAATGCCAGAGGAACTCAAGCCCATCAGATCTGAAAATCATGGCACCATGGTAATAAAACAATTAAGAGTACCCCTGCAGGGAAAGGCAATTTTTACAATTAACCTTGAATGCCAATTAGTATTATTACTTTCTTAGGAAAAGTCTATCTTCAAATATGATGATCAAAAATTCAGTTCCAGCACATTTTTAAAATGGAATTTCAATTAAGGTGAAAGTTTAAGATAAAAAAATACTTAATAAAAATGCTGCATGGTAATACACTTATTTATCTATAGTGCCTCAATATAGAAGAGAATTGGAGACATGATCATAGCTATATCAGCAGATGGCAATGAAATAATAAACAATTTCTTCAAACTAAATAAATAAGTGAATACCTTTTTTCCTTGGAGGGGTTAGAAGGACAACCCTCAAATTTAACATTAAGTTGTAGGAAGTTCCCATATTAAATAGTGCGAGTTAACAATGATATTAAAAACAAGTACTAGCTTCTTACAACAATAAATATAGTCTTCATAACAAAGCTCACCTCCATCCTAGCCTAACTGATAAGATTCTATAGGCCCTGCAACCATGATCATCCTGGTCCAACAGGTCATTTGTCTCTGACATAATGCCCTCCAACTGATTTCTCCTGATGACTTTGCTAATACTACATGCACTCAGGTTCCTATCTGTCTAATTCCTAAGTCACAGCAGATATAACATTTTATAGTTGTAACCAGGAAAAATTACAATTATAATGATTATTTATAATCTATAAAAAGGATTTACAATACAATGTCAAATTCTTTCCTTCCATCATACATAATTCAGTACAAAAGCCATTAGGCAGGGCTTAGCAAAGTAGGCATCAATATTAGAATGGGAGGCACAAAGAATAGGATAAGGAAGGTTTCTGTCCTAAGAGAACAGTGAGGGCAGTAGTAGTCCAGCATGGGGCATCACAGCCCCAGCAGGAAGAGGAGGGATCTTTGCAAGAGAAGGGGGAAGAAGTGACTTGATATTGGCTATATAATGGGAACCAGTTTGTTACTATCAGAAAAGGAAGTACAAATAAGAAAAGGGAATAAACTAGAATGGACTATGATATTAGGTTGGAAGCAGGTATTGTTGTGAACTTATGGTTAGCAATATAGCTATTGAAACACAATTATTTCAATGTAAATGGATACAGAAATATAGCTGTAAATATTGTACATGGACACATTTTCCCTAAATCTGTTGACTGACAGGGTGTGGGAGCATAACACCTCGATAGCAATGATCACGCGTAGTGCCCAGATCTTGGTTTCTAAATCCCGTTCATTATTAAAAGTTCCAGGACTCCTCAGAGAAATGACTGATTCTAGAAAGTAACAATGAGCCTGGGATATCAAGGAAGTACTCACAAATGATGGGGAAAAGCCAAAAGACACAAAATCATCTAAAGGAATTCCCACAAGCCAAAACAAAGACAATTTGGTCATCAAAGTAAGTAATAATAGAAATCTACCAGATAAAATAGGAAGCTGTGTGCTCCTGTTTTTATTTATACATATATATAAATGTAAGGAGAAAGGGCTTTTTCTTAGGCTAAAAAGACAACTAATACATTCAAAAGGAAGAAAATTACCTTTTGGTGATTTCAGAATAATTAAAACAGACAAAAAAAATCAATGGATTCAAAGCAAATGGGACAAAGTTGATAAAAAATATTTATAATCTCAAAGTACCTCCCCAACATCCCTATTATTTAAAGGAAATACACACTGATGTATTCAGGGGTGGTGGGACATCGTGTTAGCCATTCACTTTCTAGTAGTTCTCTTATTAAAAATCCCTTTATACTACTCATGCAACTTTTTTTATAGTACTTGAATTATTTCAAAAGAAAAAAGAATATGGTACCAGATCCTGGATGTGTTTTACAACAATTCATAAAAAAATATATATAAATAAGGTAATAAAAATTTTAGAAGCTGCCATTCTGTTAAGACTTGGCATTTGAAAGGCACTTTTTTAACTTAAAAAAAATTCTTTAATGTCATATTTCTGTAACAGCTATAACTTTTAAGACGACGATATATATGTTCATGTTTAATTCAACAAATCAGTGGGTATTATAAAGAAGTTCTTCAGCAAAACAGGAAACAGTATAATGAAAGCCTTCACTCTTTTTATAACTAATGGGTAATTAATTCTAAAATGCACATAGCTGCCCCCCGCCATTACCATTAACTGGATTTCCAGCAACAATAGATACAAAGAATTCTGAAAACCAAAACCCAGATACCTTGATTTAGATGTGTTGCTTCCATGATCTGAACACCGTTGACAGAGCACTGTGACCCACTCAGTGGTATCAGAGTCACGGTTCCCCCGACATTTTCAAAGATACAGTGCTCACTCTCCAAGTCCAGGCCATGAAGAACTATGAAAAACAAAGGAGAAAGAAAATATTTTCTTTGTATCTAGTGCAATGGTCGCCAAACTTTATTTTTCCATATTGAACACTTTTCCATGTTAAATTCTAAAATGAACATTTACTTTAATGAAGAAACTGAAGTTTAAGAGCTCATGGCATCAACTGATAGAACCAGAGGTATCTCTTAAATGTTACCTTAAAGGGTCAAGGTAACACCTGTATAAGTTGCGGGATATTAATTTCATCTTCTAAGGGAAATAAATAGTTGAGAAACTTGTTGTAAATGAACCTGAATCACTCTGATTCTGAACAAAATTCCTCCACCAGCCACCCAAAGGTCACAATAAAATAGAAAGAACAGAAGGTTCTTGGGGTCAAATACTTATTGTGACCTCCAAATCTGCAGATACTGGGTTCCTAGAGAGGAAAGCTAAGGGGATCCATGCCATCTTGGGAGACCAAAGGAAGCCTCAGAAAGCTATATTGGGAGGTACAATGCACTGCCTGTGCCAATTGATGTCCACAGACCTCTCACAGGAGGTGGCTGTACAGGTTTACCAAATCACTTATGACCATCCTGAGTTATTCTTGTTTAATGAATTATCAGGCATGGATATAAATGCCTATGAAATAAACCTACACAATTTTAAGTCAGTTCTTGTCAGCAGAACAGACTAAACAGAATTGCACTACTGAACTTTTCTGTTCACAGAACACATGTATACTTACCACTCACTATCATTTACATAGCAACCACAAAGGTCACACACAAAATTTAACAATTAGAAGGGGCTTGATGGCTAGTTCTACTCAAAAACAACTGAACCTAAAGACTTATGGGAAATACTTTTTAACTCTTCCCATTTCATGATAAATAGTAAATACATGTAGGAATATGCTAGGTTGGTTTTATTAATAGCTTATGCATGGCAAGAAAACAAGTTCAGAGGCCTCCCTGGCGGTTCAGGGGTTAAACACAGCACTATCAAGCTATCACCAGCCACTGCAGCATGAGTTCGTTCCCTGGCCAGCCAGAGAGCTAACCCACATGGTACAGCAGACCTCTCCTATCATGCCTGCTGTTCCCCTCAGCAGTGTATTTCAGTAGATATGCCTGCTCTGCTTCCCAATTCTGTCTCTGGTGAATCCTCTCACCTCCTGTACCCCTGGCCTGTACTCCAGTTCTTTGTAAGCATAAATAAATCTTTAAAAAAAAAAACAAGTTCAACACCAACAATTCTAAAAATAACTAAGAAGATATAATCTTCCCGTGCCAATTCCCATAACTCCATACACACCACCACCACCAAAGTATCTTTTATAACTACTTCGATATCAGTCATTAGAAACAAAGTTCTTCATTAATCATGATTTTAAAAAATCATCAGAAATAGATCATTGATAAAGATTCTCACCAATATCTTGTTCTGTTGAAGCATCTTCTCTACCAACATATGTCTGACCTTCCTGGGAAGAAAAAGTCAAATAAAATTTTTAGTAAGGACATGAGCAGTCTGTTTCTACAATTTTCACTTAACTCAAGCAACCAGGTGACCAATGTGCTGAAAAACAGGCAGAGAGGCCACAGTCTCAGTCTCAGTGCCATCAGAGTTCTCTATGGGTCTATAACCCTAGCCAACACTGTTTGGAAATAATAGTAGAACACTTAAAGCTTATGGCTCAACAATGGTTAGGCTCCTCCATTAGCACACATCAATGATTTAGCATCACAGCAACCTCACTGATGTTCCTGATACTTTCTGTAGAGATTCTCCTTCATTGGCTAGGGGTTTCTATGTGTCTGAATACATATGTATAGGAACCCACAAGGCACAAATGCAATCCCATTCTCATTTTACATCATGAATCAAAAAGAGACTAATAAAGTCAAGGCTACAGAGGCAACCACAGATAATGATGTAGAAATGCAGTTTTCTTGACATGAGCAGTCTGTTCAAGACCAGGCCCAACACTGCACCTGGGTGAAACAACTTTATAATTAACACTAGAAACTAGGAAAGTGTACATATAACAAATCTCAGTTTCAGGTGCTTGTGACTTTTCTTCCTCACTCTGTCTGCCTTTTTTGTTTATTACCTCATTCCTACTGATTCTATAAAATAGAAGGCAAAGTGAATGGATCTTCATTTAGCTTTAGAACTACATAAACAAGGGAACTTCGAACAATACAGAATTCCAGTGTACTGTTGAAAATACCCAAAAAGCTCAAAGATTTGTTGTATATTCTTTAATGCAGTGGCTGTATTCATGGACATACAGTATTATAACTTGCTAGTGACTAAGGGAAAAGTGAAAATAAAATTAGAATAGTTCGTGTAAGCAGTTTCTACCTTCAAGTGATATAAGATGATTCCAGTACTCAGAAGGTCATCATCAATGCCAATCAGATGTGGCAGTTCAGAATCCAAAACAACTCCAATTCCTTCTTTCCTAAGTGCCAGAGTTTGTTCCTGCAATTAGGAGGGGAAAAAAGAAAAAAGGTTATTTTGGGGGAAGTAAACTTCATATTAGGTGTTCTTTAGAATATCAAAATAAGCAATGTTTTATTTTTCATCATAAAAGGGGGGGTAAGAAAAATGGACCTTAAATTTCATGCTGAAATCCTGGCATATGGTAGGCAAAGTGAACTTGGAACATATAAAAAGCTCAATATACAATGTGTAAATGTATTGCCTGATTACCTGATTTATCTATCTATACACACACATATATATAATATAAATATATTAAAATATATTTATAATACATATTTAAAATATGATATAAATATATATGAATTTTTATATAATGATATATATACATACACACAATCTTTGATGCCAAGATCAAACTTTGCCTTACCTAAAGAAATGTTCTCTGATTACCCAATGAGAAAGTAACCTTGCTTCTTTAGAAACTTTATTTCACTGAATAGCTAGATGTCTCCTTATTGATAGGCTCTTTTCTCCAGTTACTTGATTAAACTGTGAAGGAAGTTTAGAGAAACCATAGAGAACCACAGAGAAACCATGGAGGAACCATAGAGAACCACAGAGAAACCACAAGGAATCACAGAGAAACCCTTTCCTGTGTGTTAGCTACTCCTTTACTGAAGTACAACTGACTCTCTAGCCCATGCACCATTCTCATGATTGTCCAGTCTATATAAAATCCCACCACCACTAACAACCACACCTACTCCCTTGGCCCTACATCTCAGCTCCACCATTTTTGAGAAAATCACCTCTAAAGACTTTCCTATACTGGTGGTATTTGTGTCCTCCTACTCTCTCTTGAAGCTTTCTCCAGGGAGGCTTTCAGCCTTGGACCTCTACTATGGAAATCACTCCCTTCATGATTTCGTCCTGTCTCTATACTGGCAGTTAATCTGATGATCACTCTCAGAAATCTAAATCTCTAGACAAACCTCTCCCTTAAACTCCCCTCCATACTCATGCACATACCTCCATATACCTATAGGAACGCCAAGCAGGCAATCCAAATTTAATACATTGAAAAAAAACAAGCCTTGATTCACCCTGCCACTCAAACCAGCAATCTATCCTTTCTTAACAAATGCCAATGTTCTACAGTTAAGTGGACCAAAAACCATAGCTACACTTTGCTTTGTCTCACTACCCTTTACACTCTTAGTATTGACTCTACCTTAAAAATATATCCCCAACCTGATATTAAACCACATGCACCACATTCCTGCCTGGCCTCAACCAATATCATCTTTCACCAGGGATCATCCAACAATCCAAGCTACCAACCACCATTCATGCACCAACCATGGTCCATGCTTCACCAGAATAAGCCAGATAGACATCAGGGTAGGGTAGTCCCCTGGCCTACCTCCTCTAAATGGCCTCTCATATCACTGAAACAAAAGTAAAAGGCTTTGTAAAATTCTACAAAGCTCCTGATGACCCTTACTAGCCTCCCACTACTTACTTCTCTCGAGGAATCCACTGACTCAGTGGTTGTCCTGAAACTTGCCAGTTTTCCCCCATCTTAGGGCTTTTGTCATTGCTTTTCTTCTGCCATTGTCTATTCTTTCTCTTCCCCTAGGACAGGGTTTCTAAACCTCAGCACTACTTTCTAAACCTCCCCTCTTCATTCTGAGGGGAAGTCTTTTTTTTTTTTTTTAAGATTTATTTATTTATTCATATAAGCACTGGGTACAGTCAGAAGCACGGGACGGTCAGAGAATTCACCAGAGCCAGAGCAGGAAGCAGAACAGACAGACTGACAAAATACACTGCTGAGGGGAGCAGCGGGCATGGCAGGAGAGGTTTGTGCGCCATGTGGGACCCTCACCGGGGGCCGGGGATAGAACCCACGCTGCAGAGGCCACAGGCAGCTTTACAGACCAGCGCTCAAGCGCCATGCCACCGGGGAGGCCCAGAAGTTTTATGCACTGTAGGATGTTTAGCAGCATCCCTGGCCTCTACCCACTAAATACCAATAATACATTATGATTGCCCCAGGATTGTAACAACTAAAACTGTCTCCAGACATTGGCAAGTGTCCCCAGGTAGCAGAATCTGCCCCAGTTAAGAACTACCCTACCCAACATACATACAAACATAACTTGACACTCACTTCCTCAGATCTCTGCTCTAAAGCTATCTTCCCCATCACAACATACAAAATAGTAATCACAAACTTCCCTTAATCTGAGTTGTCTTTCCCCTTAGCATTTATCACTACAAGATATGTTTTATACAATTTTATTACCTGTCTGTTGACTGGACTGTAACTCAGTACTTAATTTCATGATCATATAAAGTTGTTCCTCCATATTTGTAAAGTGAATAAATGAGTACACAGATACAGGAGTTCATATAAATGTAGGAAGGAAGGTCAATGGCAATGCTTCGGAGCAGAGAGGCTGGCAGGCCATAGCTTCAATCAGGCCCTACTGGCACAAAAGACCTGCAAAATGAGACTTCTAAGCAAGTCCACGGTGGAAATCAGACAAATTTCAGAAGACTGAAGGTTTGAGGTTGGGGCGTGTTGAATTCAGAGTCACATTCAAGTGCACAACTAAGTGCTGCTCTAAGATAGATCATGGGGGCAGTCATTTCCAAGCCACTAATGGGGTTCTGGTTAGAGACCCTCCTAGTGATTCTCATCCTCACACCTATCCCTAAAGCCAGACAGAAGTGACTGGGCTCAGCTCTGTAACTTCTGTGCCCAACACTGTCTGAAATATATCCATAGTCCTCACATTCCTAGAATGAATAAATGTACTGTATCATTTAAATATTTAAAGAATGTACAAAATCTGCCACACTCTAGGTGAAGGATTCAGAACTTGACAACCTTGCAGGCCAGGGGGCTCCTAAAGGACTCTGGGCAGGGGCAGTAGAAAGAAAGGAGACTTTCCCCCTAGCCTTTACCTCTGTAGACAGATGATTCTCAAATGCACATATGCAGAGGTGGTGTCATGCAAGAGGGTGATGGCATGAAGAGGCAAAAAAAGATGTGTTGAAAAGAAAACAAACATAAAAATCACCAGTTGGAAGAAAGCAATTTAATTTAACGACCATTAGAAAGATATGCAGAGAAAATGACCAATACATAACTTAGATTCAAGAAAAGGAAATGAAGCATATCATTGTTCTTCAATTATTTCTCTTATCAGCCAGGCTCCCACTGCAGGGATCAGAACCTCGGGCTTCCAGGTCGGAGGCTTCACTAATCTTGATTTACTACACCAAGGTCCTTGCAAATCTCAGCTGAAATGACCTCTCTAAATAAACCCCCTACTCCTACCTCTCATATACTGGTAGAGTTCATGCTTTTTGCTCCTGCCCATATAATTCAAGCAGAAATGGGGAGTATGTGATTTTTTAAAGATATATATTACAGTGGAGAATTTAATCACACAGCTCCATTTCATGAAATAGTGTCCTCGCCAGGAGCTCTGAACTATAACAGTACAGCACACACATAGACAATATAGTGTTCCAGGCCTCCAGGCCTAAACAGAACAGGGGAGTGACTATTCTGATAAGGCCAAAGACATATGTATTTTCTTTCTGCACAGAAGTGGACTATATCACCCCCAATCCCCATAAAAAAGCAGCATTTTAAACTTTTATAGCTTTTAGTCTAGAAAAATTGTTTTGGATTACATTTCAGTTTAGTTTAGTAGTCCTTATTCTTTAACCACTGAAAAACACTTTTTATTTCCTTCCTTGAAATGAGTCTCATAGATTTTAAAAATCACTTGAAATTCACAACTTTGATGCTGTTTGGTCAAAAGCATTATTGTTAACATCCATCCCCCAAACTCACGCACACACAAACACACATGCATAGAATGGGTAAAACCTGAATTAAGATGGTTTTCTAGGATTGACAGTGGGGACAGATAAATTTATGATTAAATGCTGCCTTAAAGCTCTATGACATTCAAGCTGCATTCAGCTACATGATATTATAAAAGTGTCACCTCATGAAACTAAAACGAGGGTTTAAATCATTGCTCAACTGAAAAAGTAATTTCAGACAAAAATATCTATCACGTATAAAATATTTATTGAGTGGCATCTACAGTTATACATAATTTATGAAACCTCTTTGATAAGATGGAATATTTAACACAGCAAAGACGGCTATCCCCAACCCCTGACACACCAGATCCCAAGGAAAGAAGGTGGTAAAATAGGTATAGCTGCACATATTATGTATTGAAACAGAGCTCTTGGCAATCAATATTTGTATGGGAAAGAAACCATAGTCTGACTTAATCTGTCAAAAACAGAGTACTGGTTTCTTTTAAACATTATTTAGATAAAATTTGCAAATAATATGATCAATGTTTTACTGCAACCTCTGAATGCAAAATATGGATCCAGTGCCAGGACACACCATCATTACTGGCACATTCCAGCAGTTCAGGTGTATTGTAGGCAGGGCTGAAATGATTTCAAGAAGAGCACATGGAGACAGGGCTCACTGGAAGTGTCTAATGTAATCAGACTGATTTATTAGACTGAGCAGGGATCTACCTCTTTTTTTTAAAAAAGATAGGTAAATTTTATTTTTTCCCCAAATTATGTTTATTGAGGTAAAAGTAGGTTTACATTCTGTATCTGTTCCAGGATTTATATGTCCAAACCTCCAGAGATGTATAATTTCACACCCTGCTCACCACCAGTGCCACAATCCTCCATCATGATCCATTTGGGCCCCTTCCCTCCTTCCCTCCTTCGCCTTCTCGTGCCTCACTTTTGCAGTCATATGTTAAGAATTTATATTAGTTTGGTTTTGACTGATCCAGTGTTATGTTTCTCTATTTTCCAGTTATAAGTGTGATCACCTGGGATTTGTCTTTCTCCTTCTGACTTACTTTAACACACTCTCGCGTTCCATCCATGTTGTCCCAAATAGCAGGAATCCGTCTTTCTTTATAACTGACTAGCATTCCACTGTGCATATATACACACAACACATT